CGAACTCACGGGCTCAGGCAATCCACTCACCTCAGCCTCCCAAAGGCGTGGGATTACAGGATGAGTCACCAAGCCCGGCTAATTTCTTTGACTAAACATATCTCCACGAAGACCAAGTCCCAAGTCTGTTTTGCTCACTGCTCTAGCCCCAGCACTTTAGGGAACCCATACATAATTGATAAATGAATGAATCCCCATTTTACAGATGAGAACACTGAGCCTCAGTGCGGTGACACAACTTTTCTCAGGGCATGCTACTGCTCATGATGGAGCTGGGACTCAAACCCAGAGCTAAACCCTGACTCTCTGGGCCATACCAGCCACCTCAACTGCAAGAATGATGTAGCATTGTGATTGCTGATGTGACTGCTCTTGTCTCTCTGTTAGACAGTACACACTGAGTCAGGGTCTGTGACTCCTCCCTGACCTTTTCCCAGAGTCTGGCACATGGTAGGGGTCATCAGCAGACTTCCCTCCTCTGGCCTACATGACTCTTTGCTTGCCCAGCCAGGAAAGCCATGGGTTTTAGCCTCCAAGAGAGTCCACAGGTACACCTCTTGGGATTCATACCCTTGAGCAGTCCCATCCCACACTGAATAGGGCCAACGCGTGTAACTAACAGAATGTCACAGAGATGACGGAGGGCGACTCCATGTATAAGGCACAAAAGATGTTGCAGCTTCTTCCTTCTCTCTTGAATCTCTTGTTCTGGAGCATGTCAGCTGCCATGTCATGAGGCTACTCAAGCGGCCCTAAGGCGGGTCCATGTGATGAAAAACTGAGAGTCTTGCCAACAGCCACAGGAGGGCACCACCTTTGAAGTGGCTCATCCAGCCCCAGTCGAGCCTTCAGCTGAGACCAGCCATCTTGTCTACAGCCTCATGGGGGACTCTGGGCCATCCAGCTAAGCCACTGGGTGGCTTCCAAATTCTTGTTCCTCAGAGATAGAGAGCATTTGTTGTCAGAAGCTGCTAAGTTCTGGGATAACTGGCCACACAGCAAGTGAAACCAAATGCAGGGTACTCACCTTGGTGCTCACATCCTTTTGGAGCTGCTCCATGGCCTTCTTCCAGTCATCCTGGAGGGTTGTAACATTGAAGAGCATGCCCTGAATCATCTCATGCAGCTCCGTCGCCGCCATCTCCAGGTCAGCCCGGTTTGCCTTGCCTGCTAGGGCACTCCTGTCGGCTTTCTAGGGAGACAGGGGGCTCAGGGAGGTAGGCTGCTAGGACAGAGCAGGGGGGAGGCTGGGAAACAGTACCCTCTCCCCTTGAGTCTGATTTTGATAATTTGGAACCCTAGACTTTTAGCCTTGGCTTAAATTCAAGTTTGGAGTCCATACTGGCTCAAACACAACCATAAGATCGAAGCCAAGGTTTTCCTATAACAGGGAAGTTGATGCATGATTTTTTTTTTTTTTTTTTTGAGTTGGAGTCTCACTCTGTCACCCAGGCTGAAGTGCAGTGGCATGATCATGGCTCATCACAATTTCGACTTCCTGGGCTCAGGCAATCCTTCCACTTTAGCCTCCCAAATAACTGGAACTACAGGGGGATACCACCATGCCTTGCTAATTTTTTATTTCTTATTTTTTAATTTTTTTTGGAGTTGGAATCTCACTTTGTTGCCCAGGCTGGAGTGCAGTGGCATGCTTATGGCCACCCCTGCATCCACCTGCTGGGCTCCAGCGATCCTTTCGCCTCAACCTTCCAAGTAGCCGGAAATACAGGTGCATAGTACCACACCTGGCTAATTTTTGATTTATTGTAGAGACAAGGTCTTGCCAAGTTGCCCAGGCTGGTCTCAAACCCACAAGCTCAGACAGTCCACTCCCTCGACCTCCCAAAGTGCTGGGATTACAGGCTGAGCCACCAAGCGAGCCTGGCCAATTAAAAAAAAATTTTTTTTTTTTGAGTTGGAGTCTCACTCTGTCACCCAGACTGGAGTGCAGTGGCCACTCTCGGCCACCACAGCCTCAACCTGCTGGGCTCCAGTGATCCTTCCGCCTCAGCCGTCCAAGTGAATTACAGGCATGTGCTACCACGCCCGGCTGATTTTTTGATTTATTATAGAGATGAGGTCTCGCCTGCCCAGGTGGGTCTCGAACCCGCGGGCTCAGGCAATCCACTCACCTCAGCCTCCCAAAGGCGTGGGATTACAGGCTGAGCCACCGAGCCTGGTTTAAAATTTTTTTTAGAGATTACAGCTGTCAGCCACCACACTCAGCCTCCCGAGACTCTTTTAATCTAGAATAATCTCTCTAGTCTCCACTTCCTCACACTATTGAATTAGAGATGAGGTCTATGTTGCCCAGGCTGGTCTCAAACTCCTGGGCTGGAGTGCAGTGGCAGAATCATAGCTCACTGTGGCCTCAACCTCCTGGACTCAAGCAATTCTCCCACCCCAGCCTCTGGAGTGACTGGGACTACAGGTCCACACCACCATGCCAGCTAATTTCTTTTTGTCGTTGTTTGTAGAGACAGAGCTCATACTATGTTGCCCAGGCTGGAGGACTCTTGTTTTCAATATGAATAAAGGTAGAAGGAAATTCTGGAAGGCATCCTTCTTGGCTTTGCCTGGGTGACTCTGTTTTCCTGAGGGGAGCCAAAGCTCGGCCTGGGAAGTGGGAAAGGCTCACCTCTCTCAGCTCCTCCTCCATCATGCTTTTATTCACCTTGTTCATTTCCAGCGTTCTGATTTGAGCCTGGAGAGTCTAAGAACAGAAGCAAAGGCTTGTCAGCCAGACCAGGACGCCTTGAGGAAAAGATCTACCTCCTGCCTCCACCTTTGCCACGTGCTAGGAAGGGACATGGGGCCATCTTTTATTTTTGAGTCAGAGATCTCATTCTGTTGCCCAGACTGAAGTACAGTGGCACAACCGTGGCTCACTGCAATCTTGACCGCCTGGGCTCAAACAATCCTCCTGCCTCAGTCTCCCAAAGTGCTGTGATTACAAGTGTGAGCCATCATGCCCAGCTTTTTTGTTTGTGTTTTAGAGATGGGGTCTCTGTTGCTCGGTCTGGAGTACAGTGGGAGGCACAGCAGAAGGTTCAGGCTCAAGAGTTCCAGGCACCTAGATGAGAAGGAAAGGAACACGGGGGCTTGGGACAAGCAGGCCCCAGGCGGTGGCATCAGAGAAACTGTCCTGCAGAGGGAGTTAGACCCAAGGAAGTAAAGTGCAAACCAGTACTGACGACTTGGCTCCCTGGACGTTTAAAGCAAGCCCATCCCTTAGGATATGTAATGGGATCCTGGTGGGACTTCCAGTCTCCCACCAACTGAGTGCTGACCATGTGCCATACATACTGTGCCCAAGTGTTAGGGAAAACCTTATTTCCTACTCCCATGACTCTACAAAGAACCAACTTCCCCTGCTACTTCTGCCCTCTCTCCACTTACCGGACCTACCATGATGGGGGCAGCAGTTGATCTGCTTGGGAAGAGTCTCCTGTGTTCCGGGGAAGAGGTGGAAAGTGGGATACTTTTCAAAGCTGTGAACAGGCTTTAGCTTCTCCCTTCTGGTCTCCCTGTCACCCTTAGGAATAGAACTCTGACTTTTAACTGGAACCCAGTTGCCCAGAATCAAGACTTGATTTCACAGTCTGCCTTATAGCTTAGTGTGACCACTGGGGTGTAAACAGAAGTGGGCAAGTGTCTTTAATCATATCCATCCTTTATTCTCTTTGTTGCTGGTTTGAACGAAGAGTTAATGATTGGAGCACTAGCAGCCATCTTGGGCCATGAGGTGTCTTTGTGAATGGAAATCACAAGCAAATTGGAACTTGGGTCTTCAACACTATGGAGCACCATGCCAGCTCTGAGTTGATCATCTGGGTTTCTTGGATGTGAAAGAGAAGTGCACTTATACCTTGTTTGAGTTATTTTGGGGTTTTGTGTTATTCAGTGCTGAGCCCGTTGTAATTAATGCAAAGCTCCATCCATGTGGGTGCCCCACAGGCGGGTGCCATGGTATAGCAAGAAGAATGGGGATTTGGGAAGACATTCCTGCTTTAGTCTCGAGTCCAGGCACCTCCGCCAACCTGCTAGGCTTTCAGAACTATCAGTACCAACCTTAGTACTTAGATCCACACTTGGCTCTTGACGTATATTGCCAACGGATTGCAATCTAGAGGAATGATCGGGTGGAACCCTCTCACTTCCACTGCCAGGGTCCCATGTGTGCTGGGTTGAATAGGGGCTCCCCACAACTTCATGTCCACCCGGAACCTGCGAACCTGGCCTTATCTGGGAATAATAAGGGTCTTCCCAGATGCAATTAGTTAACATGAGGTCATGATGGATTAGGGTGGACCCCGAATCCAGCAACTGATGTCCTCATAAGAGAAGGCCACGTGAATACACAGAGACCCACAGGAAAAGGCCATGTGACCACAGAGGCAGAGACTGCAGTGTTGCTGCTACATGCGAAGGGACACCTGGAGCCACCAGAATCCAGAAGAAGCAAAGAAGAGTCTCCACTGGAGACCTCAGATGGAACATGGCCCTGAGATACCTGGCTTTAGACTTTCAGCCTCCACAACGGGGGAGAGAATAGGTTTCTACCATCGCCAGACACCCAGTCTGTGGACATTTGTTTCAACAGTCACAGGAAACTGATAAACCCAGCAAGTGGCAGCAGGATTCAAACCAAGTGTATTCCTCTCAAAGCCTGTGCTCTGAGCTGCTGTACCGGGACCCCTCACAGCAGGGCGGGCTTGGGCTGGTTTCTTTGTCTGAGTCTCTGTTTTCCCTTCTTTAAAATGGCATTAATTCCACTCCTCTTCCAAAGTTGTTGAGGGGACTAGAAATAGTATCTAGAAGGTTCCTGGCAGACAGTAGCAATGGGTCTTCTCCTGTACCAAGCCAGAGCTGTGGATATAACAGTCTGTTCCAGGAATTATTCTGCAATGCAGACATGGCCTTATCAAGACCCTTGTCCACTGGCGATGTTTTCCGTAATGTTTCCGTAGAATCAGTAAGAATGATTCTAGCTTTGATTATCTCCTGCTGTGTTCTTAGGGGCAAACACTCTGAGACAAACACTTCAGAGGCTCTCAGCCCTCTCCCCATGGTGATCACGCCTGTCCTTTCTCACAGTGAGGTTCCTGGTAGGAACTGCGCCCGCAGACAGGTCTGCAAAGGGCCCCAACACTTGCCGATCTATGGCTGGGTGAAGAGGGACCGTGGCCTATGGCTTTGACTCTTCGGACTCCTGGGCACCTCAGACGTGTGGCTCAGACAAAGCTGTGTCCCCTATCCCTCAGGGACACCCATCACCTAAACCTGACTTCGAGGACCATGGAAACCCCCATCTTACTGTCCTGTGGCTGCCATAACTAATTACCCCTGACAGGGTGGCTTAACACAACAGAACCAGCCAGGCTCGGTGGCTCAGCCTGTAATCCCGTGCCTTTGGGAGGCTGAGGTGAGTGGATTGCCTGAGCCCGTGGGTTCAAGACCCGCCTGGGCAGCGAGACCTCATCTCTACAATAAATTAAAAAAAAAAAAAATCAGCCGGGCATCGTAGCGCATGCCTGTAATTCCAGCTACTTGGAAGGCTGAGGCAGAAGGATCGCCAGAGCCCAGCAGGTCGAGGCTGCAGTGGCCGCAAGCGGCCATTGCACTCCAGTCTGGGCGACAGAGTGAGACTCCAACTCAAAAAAAAAAAAACAAAAAACAGAACCATATTCTGTCCCTGTTGTAGAGGCCAAAAGTCCAGCAACAAAGTCTGGGAGGGCCAAGCTCCCTCCAAAGTCTCTAGAGAAGGCTCCTTCCTCGCCTCCTCACCTCTTTCAGCCTCTGGAACTTTCTGGCATCCCTTGGCTTGTGGCCACATCATTCTAACCTCTACCTTCACCTTCTTGTGGCCTCCTCCCCTGGGCGTCTTAAACTTCCATCTCTTCTCTCTTGTAAGAACATTTTATTGGGTTTAGTGTCCTCCCAGGTAATGCAGAGGGATCTCATCTCGAGATCCTCACTTATATCTGCAGAGACCTTTTTTCAAATAAAGTCACATTCGCAGGTTCCAGGAATTAGGACATGGGGATATCTTTTGTGGGGGCCACCATTCAACCCACTACACCCCCCGAAGTTTGTGAAGCCACTGGTATCCATGCAGCCATCCCACAGGGGTTGTTCTGTAAGAAGTCTTAGATATTCTCCTTGATGGGAACGAGCCGTCCTTCCTTTTCCATTTCTAAAAATTTATTCACTTTGCATATTATTTCTACACATTACTTCATTTGATCACTCCTAAAATCCAGTGAGCTGTTTAAGTTTATAAGGATTTTTTGTTTTTGTTTTTTTAGAGACAAGGTCTTGCTCTGTCACCCAGGCTGGAGGGCAGTGGTGTGATCATAGCTCACTGCCACCTCCGACTCCTGGGCTCAACCAGTCTTCCTGCCTCAGCCTCTAAGTAGCTGGGACTATAGGCATGTTCTCCCATGCCCAGCCAGGGGTCCCATCTTTCTACACGAAGTGGTTTGTGGAGGTCTTTCTTCTACAAAGACATCTCCCTAAGCTCCAGAAGATCATGGAGTCAGAGATAAACAGACCATAGAATTCCATTTACACAAGGCAAAACCAGGCAAAACAAATCTAGGGTGACAGAAAACAGAACAGTGGCTACCTCTGGACAATGGATACTTCCTGGGAAAGGGAGCCTTCTAAGGTGATGGAAATGTTCCTGTCTTGATAATAGCAATCGCATGAGTATATAAGTGGGTAAAAATGAATCGTGCTCTTATATTTTACTGTGCATAAGTTATATTTCAGTTAAAAACAAAAATTCAAGCCAGGCGCAGTGATTCATGCTTGTAATCCCAGCACTTTGGGAGACTGAGGCGAGAGGTTGTCTGAACCCAGAGTTTGAGACCAACCTGGGCAACTTGGTGAGACCTTGTCTCTACAATAATCCTCCTCCCCCAAAAAATCCGCCACCACCCCAAACAAGCAGGCCTGGATGGTGTCCTGTTGCCACTGTGTCACCAGTGCCCAGAAGGGTGCCTGGTGCAGTGTGAATGCTCAATAACATTTGCTGGGTGAACAGATGCTTGGCCAGATGTCATGCTCATAACATCCTCATACAAACACCAGGGAAAGCAGTGGCAGCGGTGGCTCCTCCCTGTTCCAGAAGCTTTGACAGAACCATGCTCCCCTCGTTTCTCTACTAGAAAAGCTGGACAGGGTTGCCGATCTCTTTCACATGTATTGTTTGGGAAAGAGTTAATGAATTGTGTGCTGTATACAAAGCCTTGTTCCAGGTTCTTCCAGGGTCCATTTTCACAGACAGTTAAACCTCGATGCCTCACAAGCCAGGAAGGAAGTCGGGACAAAGGCGGACGTGTTTCGTTTCAGCACAGTTCCACAGGGTCTCATATGCTGGAGTGTCCCCCAGTGGGTGACAACTACAGATGTGGAGGTAGACTCCAGACCCCTGTGCAGGTCCTGGTATGGTGTTGGGCATGTGTCAGACATGCTGAATGGAACTGGCTGCAGTTCCCATAGAGGAAGGGCACCAAGATGTCTCCAGAACGTGGTCACCCAGGCCTCTTTGAAGAGGAGTGTTGGCGGGAGACCTGGTGTGAGCATGTAACCCTGTGTGTCCTCCACCCATTCCCAGCCCAGCATCCCTAAAGACAGCCAACTCTTTTCTGTCCCCACTTCTCAAGCTAGGAATTGGTTTCCCCCTTTCTTTTCTTAAAGACAGGGTCTCGTTCTGTTGCCCAGGCTGGAGTGCAGTGGCTTGATTACAGCTCACTGCAGCCTTGAACTCCTGGGCTCAAGCTATCCTCCTATCACAGTTTCCTAAAGTGCTGGGATTACAGGCATGAGCCACCAGGTCTGGCTGGAAGCCATGTTTTCGAAGGCCAAGGCAGGAGGATTACTTGAGGCCAGAGGTTTGAGACTAACCTGGGTAACATAGCTAGACTCCATCTCTTAAAAATAATTTGTTTTTTGTCTTTGTTTTTGTTTTGAGTTGGAGTCTCACTCTGTCGCCCAGGCTAGACTGCGGTGGCATGCTCACAGCCACCACAGCCTCAACCTGCTGGGCTCAGGCGATCCTTCTGCCTCAGCCTTCCAAGTAGCTGGAACCACAGGCATGCACTACTATGCCTGGCTGATTTTTTTGACTTACTGTAGAGACGAGGTCTCGCCATGTTTCTCAGGCTAGTCTCGAACCCCTGAGCTCAAGTAATCCTCTCACCTCTGCCTCCCAAAGTGCTGGGATTACAAGCGTGAGTCACCTCCGCCTCCCAAAGTGCTGGGATTACAAGCGTGAGCCACTGCGTCCGGCTTAAAAAAATTTTTTTTAATTAGCCAAGGGTGGTGGTGCAAACCAGTAGTTGCAGCTACTCTGAAGGCTGAGGTGGGAGGATCTTGAACCCAGGAGTTTGAGGTTACAGTGAGCTAGGATTGTGCCACTGCACTCCAGCCTGGGTGACAGAGTAAGACTCTTGTCTCAAAAACAAAAAAAAAAGCTTCCCCTTTTATGAACTCTCTTCCATTCAAAGTTGCTCTGAGTGGTCCCAGCCCCACTACACCACTTGCTGACCTTGGGAGGGATCTTTCGTGACCTTGTTTTGGTCCTTCTCCGTCCCCACAGCCCAGTGCATCCCAAGAACAGCCCCCCGGCCTACGATCAGAGGCCTCCATGGAAACAGCCTTGGTTTTGCTTGCCATTTTAAATTTTTCTACTTTCGGGGAAGGTCATTCCCTCCTTCGGGAGCCCCTTCTTGGTCCCCTCTCCACGAATCTGGGTCATGTCTAGGACAAGGTACAGGCCGGACTGGGCAGGTCCTGAGGACTATGTGACCAGGTCATTAGGCCAGCTCAGCATGTCAGGAGCCTTCGGGCCCACCGAGAAGGTGTCTAGCTGGGTAAGCCCCTGGGGAGAAGCTCTGTCTTCATTTTCACATGTATCTCATTCGCAACTCTGCTGTTCCAGAAAGGCCCTGTGTGCTGAGAACTCAGGAAAGAGCTTTGCTCCCCGCCAACCCCGCTTTAGGGGAAATGTTACGAAGTAACAGTTGGCATAAGAAACCCTCTTATTCGCTCATTGGTTCATTCAGCAAATATCATGGAGGCTATACTCGGCCCTTCTAGGGACAGCGACCCAGAGGTCAACAGATGGACACTGTCCGGGGCCTTCTGCTGGTAGGCGTGTGGTTGGTGGCGGGATCTGTTTGCTTTTCATGGAAGTATGATTTGCACACAGTGAAATGCCCACTGGCTCCCCAGCCTTCAGGGCGTCCCACCTTCTGCGAATGCTTGGGGAGGGTCTGAGGGTCCCAGTAAGGACGGTGCCCCGACCAGCCCGTCTCGGGCCTGTGCAGCCTCCGAACCTTGAACTCGTCCATGCGGAACTGCAACTTCTCCACCGTCTTGTCCAGCATGAGGTAGTGACCCTTCATCATCTCCATCTGGCTGCCCCATATTCTCTCCAACTCCTCCTCCTGAAAGGGGGAGATACAGACGTCCAGGCCTCTGCTCCAGAGGTCGCCTCAGCCGGGAAGGGTGTCCAGGATCCGTGTGTCTCCCTTTGCCATCTCAAGAGCCCCCTGAGACACCTGGTAGGAGGAACCGGGAAGCCCCCCGTCCGTCAGCCCCCCCACTCCCGCGGATCTGCCTTCACACAAGTGCAGCTGCTTTCCAGGCCCATGTGCTTGCCCCCTCCCCCCCCGTCCTTTGCGACTTCTGGGAGGGTGTGCTAGGTCAAGGTGTCTTCCGTCAGCCATCAGCGCCTCAGAAGAGCTTCTCTGCCAGAGACACTGACCTTTAGCCTGGACTTCTGGAGGCTGCCAATCTCTTCCTGCAATGTATCCACCGTTGTTCCAAGGCTGGAAGAGCCTCTCATGTTGGCTGGAAACAAAGAAGGGGTGGCTGCTGGGGGCGAGACGGAGGAAGATGGCTCCCAGAGCTTCAGCTGCTCCCTCATGAGGCATCCTAGGCAGCACCGCCCAACAGAAGCACACTGAGCTGGGGGAACGCTGGGAAATTTTTATTTCCTTAATTTTTTTTTCCCCAGAAACGCTAAAAAGAGGTGAAGTTAATACATTTTATTTTATTTTTTGAGACACTGTCTTGCTCTGCTATCCAAGCTGGAGGGGAGTGGGCTCCTAGTGATCCTCCTGCCTCAGCCTCCCAAGTAGTTGGAACTACAGGCGCTCACCACTATGCCTAGTTAATTTTTCATTTTTGTAGAGATAGGGTCTTGCTATGTTGCCCAGGCTTGTCTTGAACTCCTGGACTCAAGCTAATCTCTCATTTCAGTCTCCCAAAGTGCTGGAGTTTTAGGCATGAGCCACTACATCTGGCAAATTTAATTTTTTTTTTTTTTGAGTTGGAGTCTCACTCCGTCGTCCAGACTGGAATGCAGTGGCCGCTCATGGCCACCGCAGCCTTGACCCGCTGGGCTCTGGAGATCCTTCCGCCTCAGCCTTCCGAGTAACCGGAATTATAGGCATGCACTACCATACCCGGCTGATTTTTTGATTTATTGTAGAGATGAGGTCTCACCAAGTTGCCCAGGCGAGTCTTGAACCCGCGGGCTCAGGCAAACCACTCACCTCGGCCTCCCAAAGCGCGGGATTACAGGCTGAGCCACCGAGCCCGACGGCAAAGTTAATTTTAATAAAATATTTTATTTAACCCAATATGTACAAAAAAGTATCACTTAATATGGAATTTAAAAGTTATCAATAAGATTGTTTACAAACTTATACTAAACATCCAGTGTGTATTTCACATTTGGAGCACATCTGAATTTGAACTTGCCACATTTCAATTGCTCAACAGACACACATAGCTTGTGGGGACCAATCAGACAGCAAAGACCTAAAGAACCCCCCAGAATTTACTGCCCAACTCCCTTTCAAAATGAGCAAAGCCATGAAGCACCTTATTTAGTACAGTATATGACATGTATTATCACACCACACAAAAGTAGCGTATAACCAGTTATGAGGCCAGATATAATGTAAATGACATGACTAGGAATATAAGAAAAATCAAGGCCAAGATAAGCCTTACAATTGAACTTTAGTTTTCTTAATAAAAATGGCAGGTAGCCAGAAGTAGAATTTGGGCAATTATTGCTTTATGTTTTAAATTTAAATTTACAGCCAGACATAGTGACTCACACCTATAATTCTAGCACTTTGGGAGGCCAACGCAGGAGGATTGCTTGAGGCCAGGAGTTCGAGACTAGCCTGGGCAACATAGCAAGAACCCCTCTCTACAAAATAAAATTTAAAAATTAGCCAGGTGTGGTGGCACACACCTGTAGTCCCAGTTACTTGGGAGGCTGAGGCAGAAGGATTGCTCGATCCCAGTGCTGCAGTGAGCTATGATTATGCCACTGTACTCCAGCCTGGGTGACTGAATGAAACCTCATCTTTAAAAAAAAAATTAATGTGTTACTGTTATAATCTTGGCTTTGTACCAGTATTCATGGATGTTATATGGTTCTTTTTTTTTTTTTTTTTTTTTTTTTTTTTGAGTTGGAGTCTCACTCTGTCACCCAGACTGGAGTGCAGTGGCCGCTCCCGGCCACTGCAGCCTTGACCTGCTGGGCTCCGGCGAGCCTTCCGCCTCAGCCTTCCAAGTAGCCGGAACTACAGGCGTGTGCTACCACGCCCGGCTAATTTTTTTGATTTATTGTAGAGATGAGGTCTCGCCTGCCCAGGCGGGTCTCGAACCCACGGGCTCGGGCAACCCACTCACCTCAGCCTCTCAAAGGCGCGGGATTACAGGCTGAGCCACCGAGCCCGGCTGTTATATGGTTCTTTTTAGCTATGTGAAGTTGTTCTGTTTCCCAGGAGTGTGGACTAGCACTGCCCATTGGGGTAGTGCCACATAAGGACTAGATTTAGGTTCTTTCAACTGTTGCACTTGACAGAGACGAAAGAGTCAGAGAATGATTCAGAGAGTACCGGGCAGTGGGTCTCATGGTGGGTTCCCCAGGTCCCTAGCATCAGCGTCACGTGGGAAAGCGGTAGAAACAAAAAGGCTTAAGCCACGCCCAGATGGACTGAGTCAGAAACTCCAGAGTGGGCCCAGCCATATGTTTTAAGCCTTCCAGAGACTCAGAGGTGAGCTCAAGGCTGAAAAGCAACAGCATAGACCTTTCTGCTTTCCGTTAGCCTCCATGAGTATACAGGAGAATGGGAAGAAAATCCACGGTCCGCTGCTACCCGGAATGGTGGCCATTAAGGTCATGTATTTTTTTTTTTTTCTGAGTTCAAATCTCTGTTGCCCAGGCTGGAGTGCAGTGGCAACTCATGGTTACCACAGCTTTGACCTGCTGGGCTCAGGTGATCCTTCCGCCTCAGCCTTCCAAGTAGCTGGAAATACAGGCATTTTGTGACTTATTGTAGAGACGAGGTCTCACCAAGTTGCGCAGGTGGGTCTTGAACCCCTGGGCTCAGGCATCCTCTGGTCTCCACCTCCCAAAGTGCTAGGATTATGAGTGTGAACGACCAAGCCTGGCCACCAGCTAATTTTTAAATTTTTTTGTAGACAGGGTCTTGTGATGTTGCCCAGGCTGGTCTTAAACGCCTGACCTCAAGCAATCCTCCTGCCTTGGCCTTTCAAAGTTCTGAGATTACAGGTATGAGCCACTGTACCCAGCCAGTATAGTACAGTACTGTTTTATGGACTACTGCAAAGGAGTTTTCCTTTTTTTTTCTTTGAGTTGGAGTCTCACTCCATCGCCCAGGCTGGAGTGTAGTGGTACACTCACGGTCACCCCACAGTCGACCTGCTGGCTTCCGGCGATCTGTCTACCTTAGCCATCCAAGTAGCCGGAACTACAGTCATGTGCTACCATGCCCAACTGATATTTGATATATTGTAGAGTCAAGGTCTCCCCAAGTTGTTTAGGCTAGTCTTGAACCCGTGGGCTCAAGCAATCCACTCGCCTCGGCCTCCCAAAGTGCTGGGATTACAGGCAAGCAACCGAGCCCGGCCAGAAGTTTTCAAGAGTAATACTGACATGCAATTTTCCTTACATGTCAAACATTTTATTTTATTTTATTTTATTTTGAGTTGGAGTCTCACTCTGTCGCCCAGGCTGGACTGCCATGGCATACTCACAGCCACTCCAGTGTCGACCTGCTGGGCTCTGGCAATCCTTCAGCCCCAGCCTTCCAAATAGCCAGAACTATAGGCATGCGCTATCAAACCCAGCTAATTTATTTACTGATTGATTGCAGAGACGAGGTCTCGCCAACTTGCCTGGGCTGGTCTCAAACCTGCGGGTTCAGGCAATCCACTTGCCTCGGCCTCCCAAAGTGCTGGGATTACAGGCTGAGCCACCGAACCTGGCCACATGCCAACTTTAACAGCCTCTCTTTCCTAAGACCTCACTGTACATTCAACATGAAAGAATAGACTCGTAAGAGGCGAATGCCTAAGCCAAAGGAATGAATGGCTAAAGGCTGAATGTAGATTTTTGTTAGGGGAGTCAAAGGAAGGGGAGGAGGCGCTTCTTGAAGGCTGCAGGGAGGGCTGAAGCCCCTGCTGCCTTCCCAGGGCGAGGTTGGGCCTACCTAGATAAGTCAAGCGCTGGTTCAGCTCGGATGACAGCTGGGCAAATTCTTCCTTCAGGGTGTCATGTTTGACAGGCATCTGGGCTATGTGGCTCATGGAATATCTGACAGCTTCCTTCTTGTCTTCAGGGGTCTCGGCCTGCTTGGCAGCCAGCATGGCCTGGGACAGGGCTGTAGTGGGAGTGAGGTTCACCACAGAGTATGAGAGAGAGAAGTCTTCGTAGCCCTCGGAGTCTTCCAGCTCCTTGCCCTCATCATCCACGGCCAGGGGGTCTGTGGCCCCACGGGAAGACCCTGCTCCCAGGACATCTGCAAAGGCCCCCAAGGGCCCGGATGAGGCTACAACTGTTGCCAGGGTGGCCATTTTGGTGGCAGGGGCATTCCTGACCGCCTTGGCGGCGACCCTGGCTGCCCGGGCTGCTGATCTTGCAGCAGCAGCATAGGCTGCAGCTGCGGCGGCGGCAGCAGTAGCGGTGGTTTTCATCTGTTGAATGGCAGACGAGGCACCCTTGTGATGTGCTTCCCCGGGAGCCCCATCCTTGGGGGCCCCCTCCTTGCGGGCTCTGCCCTTGGGAGTCCCCTCCTTGCGGGCTGCATCCTTGGTGGCCCTGTCCTGAAAGAATTTCAGGTAGGAGGCGTAATACTCCTCCTCCTTTTCTTCCACAGCTGAGAGCTGGCGGGCCGGGTGTAGCTGCAGTGGAGGAGGCCACGCCGAGCCGAGCTCTGTGGCTGGTGGCGGGGCCCTGGAGCGCTGAGTGGGCGGCAGGAAGTCCAAGTCCCAGAAAGACCAAGTGGGAACAGGCCAGCCTCTCCGTGATGGGGGCTGGATGCCTGGGGCAGGCCCAGGTCCAAATGCAGGCCATGGGGCTGGCCTGAACTCAGGCGTCACACTGGGCCCTGGCATGGGCCCCAGTGCAGTTGTGGGCTCAGGCTCCAGCCCAGGCTCAGGCGCAGACCCAGGCTCAGGCACATGCCCAGGCTTGAGCACCAGAGGCTGGCCCTGCTCCTGGGTGCCACTGAGAGAAACTGAACTGGTAGACTCCTCCTGCAGGTGCCCCAGGCCCTCATAACTGTAGATGGTCTGCAGGGGCTTGGGGCTTTGGAAGGGCTCAGTGACGTGGATGGAAGGAGCAGCTTCCAGGAGTTTGGAGGTCTGTGCCATGGCAGCCACTGGGAGTGGCTCCGTGGTCTGCCACGCGGTGGACATGTCCTGCCGTGGTGGAGCAGTTTCCTGTGGAAGAGGGGGCAGAGGAGGCTGGACCGGTCTCTCACAGGCCCCCCCCCAGTCAGCTGCCTGCTCCCCTCCTTCCTGCCACCTCCTAGGACCCTCTGCCGTTCCTCCTCTTCCTCCTTCACTCACCGGGGTGAACATGGCCTCGTGGAGGCCAGTCCAAAGCACCATGTCCTCGGATTTGGGGATGGCGTGAAGCTTGTCCTGGAGGGAACTCTGTGGGGTGGGAGTGGGGAATGAGGGGTGTGAGCCTCGAGGGTGCGGCGTCCCCAGGTGCTCCCACTCACACTGACCCCCACACTTGCAGAGAAACTTTTCCAGGCTAGGTTCTCCTCACCCCACCCCACCCCAGCGCCCCGGACACTGAAGGCGGGGCCTGGGGAGGGAGGACCAGGGCCATGGGCCTCACCACATCTCGCTGCAGCGCAATCATCTTCTGGTTATGTGCTCTCAAGTCATCAGAGAAAATCTTCATTTTTTCCTTGTGCATCTGTCAAATGAGCCAGGTGTGCGGGTTGGGGGTAGCAGGTTCTGGTCCTGTCCCTGCCTCTTCCCACCTCTCTGGGTGACTAAGAGCTTGAGAAGCAAAAATGGATTCCTAAGCCAGTGTTTCCCGGGGAGCAGGGAAGGGGCAGAAAAGAGTCCCACGGGCAAATCTGTTTGGGAAATGCTGGGCGAAAATGCATTCAACTAATGGTACTGCAGGTCTTCTCAGAGCCTTGAATGGGCAAAAACACATTAAGAATCTCCAGATGAGCCAAGAAGATACTGTGTCCCAAGCAGATTTGCCCAGAGGATCCCTTTTAGTAGTCTATGATGCAGCTTCCTGACAGTGCCCTTTCTGCTCAGATGGGAGCCACCCAGCCCAAGACTGAAGTCCTCACAGTTGCATGATGATCAAATGCATGCACTGACCTGTGAACCGGGGGTGACAGGAAAATCACACTCTTTGGGTCAAATTGTTAAACCTGGGGGTGACCTGGCTTCAGATCCCAGTTCTGATTCATCAGCTGAAGACTAAGGGGTGCTTGCTTTGTGCTTCAGGGATTCTGTGTCCTTCCATGCATGGTAGGCTGTTAGAACATGTTTAGATTGATGGCATGTGGCTATAGAAGGAGCTAGTATGTATGCCTGTATTAGGCTTATTCTACTTTTCCGTGTAAACACAGCTTTCTAGAAGAGGAAGGGGTGCTATTTCCATTAAGTTGGTAGACTGTAAGCCTGGAGTTGCCAAGATTTGGGGAACACCTACCCAAGAATGAAGCCAATCCAGAAGAAAATGTCACTGATAGATGACCAATGTTGTGTGAGCATCTAGATCTGGCTGTACCTGAAGGTATTGCTGAACTTTTTAGTAAATGAGACAAATCTCTTATCTTGATGAACTTGATTTCTATCACTTATAATTGATGTCATAACACAAGGGTAAGGAGCATGGTGGAGTCGCAGAGAGTTCAGTGGGACAGGCCAAGTGGCTGGGTTTATGTCAGCCCCTCCTCTGCATTCTTGGACTAAAAACAAGCTTCTGAGATTTTCCTTACAGTCTCAACTCTCAGAGGCCTGAGCAACATGACTAACATGGCAGATGCTGGGGAGGGACTACCTTTTCAAACATGTCCTTCAGCATGTCCACATCCTTCCTGAGGGTTTCAGTGGTGACTCTGAGTGCATAAAGATCAGTGAGCAAATCCTGCAGGGTCTTCATCGACTGAAGAGGGAGAAAGAGGAGGAGAAAATGTGAAGTTGGATGTGGCCAGGGGAGAAGGCAAGTGACAAGTGGAAGCTTTCTGGTGATAGCATTGTCTGAGGGGTCTTCTTGGCTCCCCCAAGGCCTAGGCTGAAGTGTACCAAGAGGCCAGCAAACGATACTAAAGCCAATAGTGCTCTGAGTTCCAAGTGACCTGGATGGAAGGGAGGCAAATCTGTGTTTGGGTATATTCAGTAACTCATCATGAAGCATCTCCTGCCCTTTCCTGTATGATAGACGCCAGCCAAAATAACTACTGAAGGAAGAAGCACAGCCTACTCCTGGGTGGTGCCATTGGAGGATCAGAATCAGGGGAGACGTGCTTGAACTTACATTTTTAAAGGGCTCTCTGAGGCTGCATGTGGAGATTTGCTCTGGGAGAGCAAGAGGGAAAGTCAAAGGATCAGTAAGGAAACTTCTAGGCAAGAGCTGATGGTTGCAAGAGTGGGCCCACAGCTCAGCTCTACACTGACTGGGGCTGTTACTGCATCCTTCTAGGTTTTAGGTTCATCAACCATAAATGAGTATAAAAAAATGTGATAATGTATACAAAGGTCCTAGTACATAGTTAGACATTGAGTTAACAAAAATAACAAATAGAAAAATGGCAGAGCCGGGCTTGGTGGCTCAGCCTGTAATCCCGCGCCTTTGGGAGGCTGAGGTGAGTGGATTGCCTGAACCCGCAGGTTTGAGACCCGCCTGGGCAGGCGAGAC